TTCTCCAGGCCTCATGGGAAGGGGCGGAATCGGGCTCCCCGTCCAGAGCCTGCCTTGGCTCCCCCTTCCCAAAATGGCCTGGTGCTGCTGCTAGCCCCGGACCCACCCGGGGGACCCTGCAGTCAGGCAGCCCCGGACAGCCCCGGGGTGTCCTCCAGACCCCGTGAGAGGAGCAGGGGGAGGGGCCTGTCCCTGCGCCGCAGGCCACACCCACCTGGCCCCCAGCCCATCAGGAGGAAGGGGCCCTGTGGCACCTGGGCTGGGGTCTTGCTGCTTGAGCGGATTCCATTTGGCCTCCAGCCTCCACAGCCACCCTCAGGGCCGGGGCGCTGGGCGCAGAGGTCTCCTCAGTGCGGCCCCGGCTCGCAGCCCCCCTGCTTTCCCAGAGGGGGCACCTGCAGGGAGCTTCCTCCTGGGCCAGGGCGGCCCTATCTCCCAGGCCCCGCCAGCGGCCCTCTCCTCCCTGGGGGTCTGCAACCTGGCCTTCCCCTCCCGGTCACCCCCTGAGGTCACGCAGCATAGAGGCCGCTGGGCGTCTTGGGAACATGAATAATGTTTAGATTTTCTGTTTTATGACCCGGAGACAGGCTTTCAAATGGCCTCACCCAGAGGACACAGGGTCTCGCTTTATGAGGTGCACAGGCCGGTCCCCACTGCAGGAAGCCCTCGATTCCCAAGGGACCTCTGGCCGTGAGCGATGGCTCCAAGCGGCCCAGGGGACGGTCCCTTCAGCTCGTAGAATAGTGATTCCGGTCCCACTCATTGATCTCCCTGAGTTTTTAAAGGCAATTTTATTTGTTTGGGGTTTCTAGTCATTAAGTTAAAACCAGTAAAATAGCGCAAAATCAATACCCACAGGGCACAGCATAGCAAGTCCTATCACGGGGAAAAACCAGGCAGAATAAATTGCGGCCTGATCCGGGCTGGGGGAGGTGCCCCCTGGCCACGGAGGGAACTGGGGGGGAGGGGCAGGGGGCGGGGCCGTGGGGGCGGGGCGGGGAGGACGGGGTGGGGGTGCAGGGCTGGGGGGGCGGGGGAGCTGGTGTGGGGAGGGTTGGGCCGTGTGGGGTTGGGGGGGCACTAGGGGCCGTGGGGTGGTGCTGGTGTGGCCGGTGGGGCCGGGGTCCCTCAGGCCCCCCCGCCCCCCTCCCACCCTCTGCACAGATGCGGATTCTTTAATTCAAACTCGGATGCACATTTGAGAAAGTGAGCGGTTTGCGAGTCCCAGCTCCGTGACACACTCGAGCTTTGCAGATGGTGCCAGGGCGCATGGGGACAGCCTGGCACAGACGCGCCAGGTGGAGGCCGGCCAGCCTTCTGCTGGGTGCCAGCCGAGCGCCAGGCAGGGCTCGTTAGGCTGTAGGGCCGTGAGGGGGCAGCTGGCGGGGACCAGGCGACCCAGGACCCACCGGCCCTGGTGCTTAGGTCTCTGCCTGGGAAAGCCACCCGCCGCTGGCGAGGCGCAGCCGCCTGGTGGGGCTGGGGGCAGAGTGGGGCCCAGTCGGGAGCAAGGCGGCTTGGTCCTCCATGCCCAGAGTTCCTAGAAGCTTCTCATCCCGGGACAGCCTCTGCCAAAGGGAAAACCCAGAACCTCCAGTTTGTAAAGCTCCGCCCCTCACAGGATGGGGTGCAAGGCGGGCAGCCTGGACACGCCCTCTGTCTGTAATTCTCATGCCATAAAGCCACCCAGTTGGGGGTGTAGGAGTCCGTGGTTTTTGTACAACCGTCACCAGGTCACTCTAGAACATTTTTATTACGCCGGAAGGAAACCTGGGAGACTCCAACAGGGACCATAATGCACATGGACCTGGAGCACATCGTGCTCTGTGAGGTGCGCCCCCCACTGAAGGACAAGCCCTGAAGGTCCACCCACGGGGGGGGCTCTGCAGCCAGGGAGCCACAGACGCCGGAGCAGAAAGAGGGGGAGGGGACTGGGGGCGGGCTTCCCAGAGTCCAATCTGGGGAAGGTCGCAGGGGCGGCTGCACCACAGTGTGCATGTGCCTTACGCCCCTGAGCGGTGCCCTTAAAACCCGAGAAGACCGTAAACGTTCCGTATCATTTACCATGATTAAGAAGAGAAGTGGCTCAGCTGGTTAAGCGTCTGACTCGGGTCAGGATCTCACGGCGGAGTTGGCTCTGCACTGACGGTTCGAGTCTCTGTGCCCCTCCCCTACTCACTCCCCATCTCTCAAAATAGATGAATAAACTTAAAAAATAAACAAATAAAAAGAGAAAAGCGAAGAAGCCTTATCCCCACAAGCCCGTCTGCCCGCCACCAGCCGGCACCACCAATTGGCTCTCCGCTCTGGCCACGCCGCGTGAAGGGTCGCACGTGGTGGGCTGCGGTAGACACTGGCTTCGCTCACTTAAAACTGTTTTCAAGATTCTTCCACCTCGTAGGGCCCATCCCAATTAAAGTGGCCGCTCTCTCCACTTAAGGGACAAATGACTTGTACCGTGAGGACCCGCCACCCGTCTTCCGTGGACGACATGTGGGTTGTTTCTGCCCCTGACCATGGTGCGCAAGGCTGCGTGTCCAAGGGTGGACTCGGCCCCCCGGGGTGGCGCATGAGCAGGGCTGCTGGGCCAGCGGGAGCGCCGCGGCTCGGGCTGGAGAAGCCGCCCCTCTGCCTGAGAGCCCGACCTCCAGTCTTCAAAGGTAGCCCTTTTAGGGCGCCTGGGGGGCTCAGTCGGTTAAGCGTCCGACATCGGCTCAGGTCAAGATCTCACGGCTCGTGGGTTCCGCCCCGCGTCGGGCTCTGTGCTGACAGCTGGGAGCCTGGAGCTGCTTCGGATTGTGTCTCCCCCTCTCTCTGCCCCTCCCCTGCTTTCCTTCTGTCTCTGTCTCTGTCTCTGTCTCTCTCTCAAAAATAAATAAAATTTAAAAAAATTTTTTAAGGTAGTCCCAAAAGGTATCCCAATTAGGGAGGAGAAACCCTCTCTACAGAGTTGCTCTGGGCTGGGGAAGAGCTGGGGGTCCAAGGTCACCTTCCTACAGGGGACAGGAAGATGCCTCCTCCTCTGTGGCTTCAAACAATGAAAGGTCAGCGTCCACGGCCCCCCCCCCCCCCGGCTTCCAGGTGCCCCCAGGGTGACGGCTTCTCAGGGACGGGAGCCAGCGCTTTCTGCATGCCAGTCAGGCCCCAGTGCTGCCTCCACAGGGCACTCTGCCCCCAGGGGTCTGTGGTGAGGCAGGCAGGGGACAGTCAACACACGATGGCTGTCCGACCCCCCAGCCCCAGTCCTGTCCCACGCGCTGGGCGTGGGGCGCGAAGGGCAGCCGGGCAGTAACACGGCTCCCCACCCAGGGGCCCACCGAGTCACAACACGTGTCGCTGACCTCAGGGTTTCTGGAAACCCAGTCTGCAGCAGGGGCACAGCTGGCTGCCCCGCCCCCCCGTCTTTCCCATCAGGAAAAACTCTTGGCTCTGAGGAGCCCCCAGCTGGGGTGGGATCTTCAACTAAGGAAGCCCAAAGCAGGTGTGGGGCGTGGGAAAGGGGGCAGCAAGAGGGAGGGGGGGTCGGGGGGGCGGCCCGCAGGGCTCTGGGAGCAAACCTCCCCATTCAGGAGCTTTGGCCGTGCAGCCGCCCGTTTGCGTCCACCCCCCAGAATCTGGGACTTCACACGGCCGAGGTATTTGACACTTGAATTCCACAGGAAATTAAATCAATTACAGAGTCTAATAAAGGATCCCAGGTTTTTAATTAAACTAAGCTTAATTAAATGGTGAGCACAGCTCTGTCGATGCCCTGATCGGGCCCTGGGGGGCTGGGAGCGTCCGGGGAGCCCGCGGCGCGCCGGCGGGAGGGGGCTGCTGGCCGGCACGCCCGCCCTCGGACAGCAGGGCTGAGACCCTGCCCCGCAGAAGGTCACCACTTCCGGCCCAGCTGGACGAGGCTCACCATTTGACAAGAGGGGGTGAGGCCCCAAGAGCGGGCAGCACGCGTGAGGTCACAGAGCAGGCGCTTTGTCCCGGGTGCCCCCCACACCCGCACCCCCGCTGCCTCTTCTCGCGGCATCCGTGGCTCCCGGGCTCTCGCTGGCACACGGGTGGTCCTCTGTGCTCGCAGCGCCCTGCCCTGCCCAGCTGGGCCCTCACACCCTCCTGGCCCTGAACCGAGGCAGGACCATCGGCGCTGGGCCAGGAGCAGTGGGCACCGCCTGTCACTTGCGCCCAGACCGCCTGCAGCCCGGCCCTAGGCACCAGGCGCCGTGGGGTGACTGCCTGGGCCAGGGACAGGCCCGGGGAGGGGCTGGACGGGGCCAGTGCGGGCCACGCGCGGACGGTAGGCAGACAGAGTTCGAATCCCGATCATGATGAAGCCGCGCGTGTGACTTCACATCTCTGTGCTTCTGTTGATTGGAGACAAAGGTAGTGGCGTTTGTCTTGGCTGCCAGACTGGGGGGGGGTGGAGGGAAGCAGCCAGTTTGGCCAAAAACCCTCCCAGCGGGACCCGTCCTACATCCTTCCTCTCCGGCCTCCGCCAGCCCCAGGGCCACAGAGTAGGCCCCTCAACCTGGGCACCCTCGGGTGGGATAGGACGCCCAGTCCCACCCAGCAGTTTGGGGGCCCAACTCCCTGCGGCTCGTGACTCCAGCTGGAGCACGTGGGGACCGGCCCCCCTCCCAATGGCGCTGTGCATCCACTGTGGGAATCCCTTCGGGGGCCGCCAGGGGGCTGGGGTCCCTCAGGCCTCTGTCTCCCCGTCTCTCCCCGTCCCCAGCGCCTCTCTGCACCCCGCCCGGTGCCCAGAGTCTGATGGATGTGTGTCAGCGTGACACCGTGTGCATCCATCCTACCCTGGGTGCCGAGAACCAAACTGCATCATAAAAAAAAAAAAAAAAAAAAGAACCTCCACTGTGATTGTCTGATCTATATTTATTTCATAACATGCAGAATTAATAAGATACCGACTTTAAGGTAACCATGGCAACTGAATGCAGAAAGGCTTGTCCCGGCAAATAGCTGAATTCATAAATAACTCTGAAGCGCTGATATCAACAGTCTCAGGACCCTCCCGCGATGCTAATGCGGCGCCCCTGCCCCGCGCTCGAGTCCAGGCCAGGGCCGCCGAGGAGCGCCCCCCACCAGGGGGCCGCCACAAGATGGGTGAGTGCTGTGTGGCCGGGGGGGGGGCCCGTGCCTGTGGGGGCCGGGTGTGCAGATCGATGGCCCTGGGGGAGCCAGCATGTCCCCTACAGCGGTGACCGCTGGACGGTGGGGCCCTGGCCCTGCCTGCCAGGTCAACAAGGGTACTCCTGTAAGAAGGCATTCATTCATTCATTCCAGTGATCGTTCATTCATTCCAGTGATCGTTCATTCATTCATTCAACAGAGCGTGGTGGCACAGCAGCGGGCGTCTGGGGGAGGCGCTGGCCACGCGGGCAGGTAGGCTTTGCCAGCGGGGTTAGAGCTGCGGGCGCCGCACTGAGACAGGCGCCTGCACGCTGTCCCCGCGCACCAGGCAGGGAGCCTCCCTGGAGACCACTGGTTTTGCCGCCTTAACCCTTCGGTTCAGCAACTGACAGCAAACAGCCCAGCGTGGCGCGAGTGACGTCCGCACTGGCCATCGGGCCGCCCACAGGACACCGCCAAGCCACGCGTCCCATGCGTGTGCCCTCTGGGTGCAGCCGGGCAGTGCCACGGGGCTGCGTGCCAAGGCCACCGTCAGTCCTCAGCCTGGCTGGCCCGGCCCTGGGGGGCCCCTTGCCCCGGAGCCCATGACTCCTCATCTGCAGGCTGTGACCCTGGTCCCCGTCTGGCCAGGTTCCCGAGAGAGACTCAGGACGAGAAAGTGCAACCTGGGTTTGGGGGGAGGAAGGGGTGGATGGGGGGAGCCGAGGATTTTCAGGGCAGTGAGATGACGGCACGACCTGTAATGGGGGGGACAGGACGTGGCACGTTTGGCCAAACCCACAGACGGCGGCTCACCAAGACGGAGCCCTACTGTCCGCTGTGGACCCCGGGTGACAAGGACGGGCCGACACGGGTTCGTGGGCTGTAAGAAACGACGGCTCTGGTGGGGGTATTGGTCGAGGGGAGGCCGTGCTCGTTGGGGGGGGGCAGAGGGCATGGGGAGACCTCCGTTCCTTTCTCTTCATTTTGCTGTGAACCTAAAATGTTCTCAAAGTGTGAGTGTGAGTATGTGAGTGTTTGTGTGACTGTGTGAGTGTGTGTGTGAGTGTGTGTGTGTATAAGGCAAACCCCTCAGGGAGGTAACCCTTCGGCGTTATCACAGACACGTTAGCAGAACGTCCCCTTAGAAGAGGTCGCCCCGCGCTCGCTGTGTGGCCTCCGCCGCAGACTGCCCTGCGACTGTCCTTTGTGCCTGCCAGACTCATTTGCCCAACGGATGTTTGTGTCAGCCCGAGGCGCTGGCTGGGAGGGCAGGGGGAGTGAGGGGCGAGGCGGGGGCAGAGCCATCTGGGGCGGGGCATGACCCAGGCTGTGCCCCAAAGCCCCTAGGGAAAGGACAGCGTGAGCCACTCGGCTGGGCTTCACACTGCCATCTGCACCTGCCCGGGCCGCCTGGCCACCCACGGGCGAACACGGGCCAGCAGGGACCAGCAGCCAGGAAGGTGCCAAGGACGGGCGCAGGGAGCCTCGCGGAGAGCTGGCAGCCGGTCCGAGGACCGTGGACCTTAGCAGCAGCACCACCAGCGGCCGGGCCCCAGCAGCCTGCGGGGACCAGCCACTCACAGCCCCTTTAACAGGAGGGCGCCCAGTGCCCCTTTGCGTGCCCCACGGGGGCCAGAGGAGGCTGGTGAGTGTCCAGCACCACGCCCATCCTGTCCACACTCACATCTCTTACCAACCTCTGCACCCCTCATTTTCTTACCTGTGAATTGGGGTCTCCCACCCTCTGTGTGTGTCTCTGTCTGGGTCTCTCTGCTGTTGGTGGAAGCACCCGGGCCTGTGGTGGGGTGGGGTCCCAAGCCCGGGCCTGTGGTGGGGCATCACCCCACCCCCCACCCCCCACCCCCGCCTTCCTGCCAGAAAATCTGCAGCCCCCTCCACGCGCCATCCGCTGACAGTGCCTGCTGCTTCGGGGGCCAGGCAGCGGGCGCCCCCTACAGGCCCCTGGGGGGGTGTCGGCGCTGGGAGAGGAGGGGTGCGGTCGAGGGCGTCCTGCCGCCCCGCCCCCCACCCGAGCGGCGGCCGCGGGGTCCCAGGAGCCCGGCGGAGGGCACGGCCGCCCCCTAGCGCCGGAGGAGAGCGCGGGAACAGGCTTGCCGGCAGATCCCGAGGGCGCGGGTCAGGTGAGGGGTGGGGACCCCAGGAGGGGGCCGGTCCGGACGCACGGTCCTCCCCCCGGTGACCCCCGCCGCGCCGCTCCCTCCTGGGCTCTGCGCTCCGCTCACCCCTGAAGTGGGGCACCCAGGCTGCCCAAGGAAGCTGGGCTCCCGCGCGGCTCCACCCCCGCCCGGCGGGGCCGCAGTTACCGCGGCCCCAATGTAGTCAGCTGACCCCAAGGGGAAACTGAGGCACAGAGAGAGGGAGCGACAGGGAAGAGCAGCGGTGGGTGCGCGCGTGCGCAGCGGTGGCCCAGGGTGAGCCGGGCGCCCCTCGGTGAGCAGGGGCGGGGGGCGGCGCCCCGGGATCGGGGATGGGGGGGCGCCGGGGTGCGCGGAGGTGCGCGGTCCCGGGGACGCCGCGGCTCCGGGGCGCCCTCTGCCGGGCCGAGAGCGGGGAACAGGGGTGGAGGGAGGGGCGGCCTCTCCGCGGTCCCGACGCCACCTCTGCCCTCAGCGGGTCTTCCCTTGCTGTGGCCCCATCGCCCACCGCGGTGCTGCCGGGTCGCCAGGACACCTGCTGCTTAGAGTTGAACACCTGTGGGAGCCGAAGCTCCGAAGTGGGTCCCTCCGACGGTGCACCCCGCGGACCGTGTGCGGAACTGGGGTGAACCTGCAGTGAACGTGACCTCAGGTCTGTGAGAAGCAGTGGGCAGGCCCCCCAGGGAGCGCCGGATGCTGCGATTATCCCCGGTTAACGAAGAGGAAGGGGACCTGCCCCAGGTCACACCAGCCTGTAGGGGGCGAGCTGCACTCACTCCCGGGAGTGGGTGGGGAGGGCCCCGGGGAGGCCGGTGCTCCAGACCCAGACCCCAGAACAGGGCCTGCAGCCGGATAGGGGTTCGTGGGCATCACCGAGCCAGTCCTGGGCCGCCTTCGGGGTAGGCTGGATCCAGCACCCGAGCCCCAAGCCTGCAAACCCCTGGTGCTGCCAGGAGCTCACACAGGCCCTGGCGGCCAAGGGCAGATGTGGGAGGTGGGGGGAGGTAGGGGCCCCCAGCGCTGCGGAGAGCCAACCCTCGCACCTGCCGCGTGCGCCTCTGTCCCCGCGTGTCCCTCTGTCCCCGCGTGTCCCTGTCAGCCACACTGCTATCTTCCTGCACAGAGGAGGGGGCTGGGCCGGGGGGTGGTGAGACCCTGGAGGTCCAGCCAGGATGTGGAGGCCCCTGGGGGAGGTCTGGCCCCTGTGCCAGGGCCTGGGGAGTCAGTGCTTGGTGACCCAGGTCGGGGATGTGACTTCTCCGGGTCGCTGTGCTCGCACGGACGCAGGAAGGGGCAGTTTCTGGGCCCAGGGCACATAGTTTCTGCTGCTTTCCTCGGAGCGCCAACAAACCACAGTGCAGGTCCTGGGAGCCTCTGCTCTCCATGGAGTTGGGGACCCCACGAGGACCCTGGCCAGTGACCACCACCTGGGCCTGGACCACCAGGAACCTGGACAGGGTCGGGGGGCCCTCAGCACCAGCCTGCCTCACAGGGACATGCGGACCGGTGCTTCCGTCCTTCCCAAGGTTTGCCCCGGTTTACTTCCTTCCACTGAACCCCCAAACCCGGGGGGCGGGGAGGCCTGGGAGCCTTGGTGACACATGCCCTGCACCGGGGCACCGCAGGCGCAGCAGAACGAGTCGGCCCAGCACAGGTGTGGTGGCCGCACGTCACCCCAGCAGCCCCCCCGAGCCTGTGCGACCCCTTCCCCTCACACCGAGACCAAAGCCTCCTAACCCACCGCCTAGGAGACCCCCCGCCTCGGGCCCTGGCTGAGCCCTCACCCGCCCTCCAGCCTGCCCAGAGCTGGTTCCCGCCCTGGCCCTCTGCTCCCCAGGCCCCTGGGCGGGGGGGCTCTGCATCGTCGTCTACCACCATCACCACCACCCCCGGCACCTCAGAGGCAGGACCAGCCTCATCTTGGCCTCAAGGAGTGTAGCCGGGAAGGAGGGCCGAGGGGTCTGGGGAGCGGCCGTGCCCCTGGGACACTGGCAGACACCGCTGTCAGGCAGGCCACTTTTAGCGGTTCCTGGAAGGTGGCTTCAGCACGTTCTGGCCAGGCAGCCCCTGCGCCGAGCATAGGGCTGCGCCGTTCAACCAGACCCGGGCCCTACTGTCGAAGAGCTGGCACCCAGCGGGCAGTCCCGTGGGGGCGGGGGGGGGGGGACTCAAGGCAAGCACTTGGCCTGGCCCTGGAGGTCAGGAAGCCTTCTTGGAAGAGGAGGGGCCTTGAGCTGATCTGAAAGGATCAGAAGGGACGATTTCGCAAGGGGACGTGCCCGAAAGAGGAGGACCCTGGCAGCCAGGCATCCGGGGATGGGGTCTCCTGGGGGGCGGTGCCTGAGCCGCAGGGCCTGTAGGAGATGTGGGTCAGGTGGACTTTGAGAAGACCCCCTGCGCGGTGGGCGTAACTGCAGGAGGGCCCGCTGGAAGGAAGTGTGTGGAAGCTTCTGGAAGGGTGGCAGGGCGCCATGGAGGAGGGCGGGTCACGATTTGAAAGGCGCTAACCCCGCAGGTGCGCGAGCTCACATGAGCAGTGCCCGTACAAGGCCACGCGCCGTGGCGTTTGTCAGCCGCAGTCTGGAAACACCTCTGCGTCTGTCCCCACCACCAGGAGGCCCTCCTGCCAGCTCCACCCACGCTTACTCCTCCAGGGCTTTCCATGCAAGTCCAAGCATCCAGGGACACGCTTTCATGTAGCTCCCCCTTCTTTCTGTCGTGGGGAGGCATCTGTCACGTAGCATTTACCACTTAGCCATTTTTACGTGCACGGTTCAGGGGCACCAAATGCGTTTGCCTGGTCGTGGAGCCCCCAACGTGATCAGGACTCTGTCCCGTCACACGCGGACTCCTCCCACCCCCAGCCCCCTGCCCTCTGCTCTCTGTATCTGTGTGTCTGACTCCTGCAGGGCCTCCTGTGAGTGGATCCTAAGGGTTTGTTTCTCGCGTCTGGGTGCCGCTTTCCCGGTTCAGTGACTTCATTACCTAGGTGCCTCTGTGAGCCGACCTCCAGGGGGCAGGCTGGGCTCTGGCGGGGTGGGCTCCGGTGCCCCCGCATCCCCTGGCCCCGTGGCAACGCAGGCAAGCTGCTCCGCCGGGCAAGTCGCAGACCCTCGCCCTCTCCGCTTCTGCTGGGGTGGCTTCAGGCCCTTCCCAGAATGCCCCCGAGCCCCCAGAATGAGGGTGACATCACCCGAGGCCTCCTCACAGATGTCCCTGGAGCCTGTCCCTCACCGGTGATGACGAGGCAGCCCCCACCCACACCCCCGTCTCCGTGCTATGGGTGGTCTTTGCTGCTTGTTTAGGAAACGATAGGAGGCATCACTACCTTGGTGGGTTCGCAGGACACTGCGTTCGTGGCAGGGACAGCGGGGGAGGCGGGCGGTGGCAGAGCTGGGCAGGGAGCCCCCAGCAGGAGCCTCGGCCCTGGATCATCTGTGCAGCACGGGGTCTGGGGGGCTCATGTCCGGAGCCTGGGAGCGCTGGCTCGCACCAGCAATCCATCCGGAAGGAGCGCAGAGCGTGTGCGCACAGAATCATGTCCCAGGCTGCTCATCACAGCGTTATTTACAAAATAGTGGCAAAAAAGTGGCATCAACACATCCATCCAATCCGAGGGGACCACCGGTGAGGTAAGGGACAGAATGCTGGCCGCCAGAGTAAACGCCACGGCGGCCCTTAAACGCCAGGCTTACGCAGCGTGTTCACTGCGTGGGAAAGGGCTCCTTCTGTACTAAGGTCAGGCGGCGGAAGAGCACAGTGCAAACCCAGGTTTGCAACATAAACTCTGTTTTGAGAATTAAATAAGATAAACGCTTTCCCTGGCAGAGCGCAGAGCGAGCTCGGCAAGGTCAGCCATGTGCCACCTTGGGGCCAGGCTGGGGACACCTGCCTCTCCCTGTGGGCCCAGGCACCGGCGTGGGTTCCTCCCTGGCCTATCTGCCTGTCACTGTACCCCCCCCCCATAAAGAGACAAAATGCAGTTAAGTCAAAACCCTCATTTAATCAAGAATCGAGATCGGGGTATCTGGGGGGCTCAGTTGGTTAAGCGTCCGACTCTTGGTTTCAGCTCGGGTCGCGATCTCACGGTTCATGGGTTCGAGCCCCATGTTGGGCTCTGCACTGACAGCACAGAGCCTGCTTGGGATTCTCTCTCTCTCCCTCTCTCTCTGTCCCTCCCCTGCTCACTCGCTCTTTCTCACAGAAAAAGAAAGAATCAGAGGTCGGAATGGGCAGGCTCTGAAGGGAAGAGGCAGAGGGACAGAATCATTCCAAGCACATTCTGGAAGGGACTGGCATCCGCAGCTGACGAGAACACGGCGCTCCCGTAGCCAAGCAAACTCAGAATGGATCCGCTCCAGACGGCTTGTCCGGACCGGGACCGCACGCCCGAGGGGAGTTGAGCCGGGTGCCTGGCTGACAGGCTCTCCCTCCGTGAGACGGGAAGACAGAATGGCTGCTCTCACGGAAAACAGCACCTTTCTCGGTGGCTCTCCTGCCCGGGCCCCGCGCCCCTCTCCCTCGGTGTGTGCGCCCGCACTCACTCCTCAGTTCCTGGCCTCCCAATTATTCTGGGGCTGATTAAATTAGCAAATGCAATCACAATCTGAAGTAAGTTAATTGGGAGAATTTATTGGACCTGCCAGTTTTATGCATGTTTGATTAAGTATTATAAGGTTTGGTTTTGATCTTGCATAATTTAACTTTAAATCCTGCACTGGGGGGCCCATCAACCATTAACGACCAAAATAACCTCTTTTAAAATGCATCTATTTATGATTTATTTCTGAATGCAATATCTTCCAGATTTTTTTTTTTTGGTGCCGTTGCCCAAGTGACAAATACCTTAAAAGTAACGTTTTGAGCCATCCTTCTCACCCTATAAATCTCTCTGAACGTGTACAATTCATTAAAAGTTTTGGAAGGAATACAAGTTAGCATTTATATTGCAACAAGTGACACGTAAATGCGTATGTTTGTCTTCCCAGCGGCCATAAAATATATCCGCCTCCCTCCCGGGGCTCCTGGGAGCCAGACAAACCGCCCGTGCTCTGGGGTGATGATAAACTCCGCAGCAAATCTTCCCTCCTGTCAGGGCAGAACTGTTCAATCAACAGAGTGGGAGCATGTCTTTGTGAAATTAGCACAGGAGAAAATACGGCCTGGGCCCGGGGACGCGGCAGCCGGAAGGGGACGGACCTCGAAAGCGAGCCTCCGGTGCCCCCTTCGTGGCCTGGGCCTGGGCTTTAGGAGGGCACATCCAGGAAGTGGCACAGGCCTGCTGCCGGGGAGGAGGGCAGGGCCCCCAAGAAGCCGGGCTGTGTGGCCTTCTCCTTACCGCGCTGAGAGGCTGGGCCTCCGTCTGCCCGAAGCCCACTGCTGGCTCACGATGACCGTTTCTCTGCTTCCCGGTGCAGCGTTTATCGCACACATATTCTACCCCGACCTTGGCTAAGGGCTCCGTGTCCTTAAACCCTCTAACGGCCACTGGGTCTGCACCACCTACCCAGCGCGCAAGTGAGGGCTGAACATTAGGAAGGTGAAGTGATTTGTCCAGCCGTGGACCCGCCTCCCGCAGCACCAGGCCAGGAGCACTTGTGAAATCCAGGCAAATGTGTCATCAATAAACCATAACCCAGCAGCCTGGACAGGCCCCGGTGCCACTCACTAGGTCCTCAGATGGGGCCGTGTGCTTCCCCTGCGCCCAGGCTAGTCCACCTCGCTCCAGCGCGCCCCTGCAGCCCTGCTCCTGGGCGGTGTGTGTGGGGGCCGGGCTGGAGCCGGGCGGGGTAAATGCCCATGGCTGTCACCAGGCAATGCCAGGACTCCAGGCTTCTGGTTCGAATGCTCAGCACGAACAGGCATTTTCATCCGCCAGCCGCCCAGTCTCTACTGGGCCTGCTGTGTGCCAGGCACCGGGACCCAGGAGGGAAAGAGGAGTTCTCCGCCCTCGGGAGCTTTGGCTCCAGGGGTGGGATCGCGGCTGGCGGGCAGAGGGCCTCCCTGCCCAGGCATGGCCACACGGAGACTGATGCCCAGCTCAAGCCTGCCCTGGAGGTGGGAAGGCGGGAGAGAGCCGGCCAGCCGGGGGACAGTGAGGAAGGAGGTCAGGGGGGTGAGACGCCACATTCCTTCTCCCCGACCACCGCAGGAAGCAAGCCCGCCGGGGCCAGAGGACCTGTGTGTCTGTCTGTCTCCCGGCTCCGGGCCGCGCCCCTGCCGGAGGGCCGACATCCATAAAGGAACACCTGCGTGCGTTCAGGCCGGCTCCACACAGAGACCGCGCCCAAGGCCAGCCCCTCCGTCCGGCCGACGAGGACCTGAGTCGGGTGCTGGTGCCCTGAGCCCCTGCGAGATGGGGACAGCAGCAGCAGGAGCCTTCACAGGTTCCTGTGACTAACGTGGTCAGGAAGCGCTCAACATGGCCTGGCCGCTGCCCAACAGTGACCCCAGGACGCAACTGCTTACCTTAATGACAAACACACGCGCTCGTTCCCAGGGTGGCTGGAACACAGCCCACAGAGTCTGGCCCCCAAGCAGCAGCCGTTCCCTCCTGTCCTGGAGGCCAGGCGTCCGGGATCCCGGCGCGAGGGAGGGCCGCTTCCTCCCGAGGCCTCCCTCCTGGGCTCGCACGCGGCCCGTCTCCAAATCACTTAGCTTCCCCGTGAGCAAGTTGGGAGCTGCAGTGTGTCCTGCGGCCCAGCCTGGTGCGTCACACCGTCACCTGGGCCGTGCCCTCCCGGCGCCCCAGGTCAGCCCCACCCGCTATGGGCTGGGGATCGCCCCCCTGGAGGCTGACTCAACAGGAACGGGCAGCAGCTACGGGGGCAGGTGGAGGCCCGCAGGTTACAGACTGAGGTGAGAGAGGCTGACTTTGCCCACAGCTAGAAAGCGGGGGCATGGCCAGAGCTACACGGGGCAGGCTGGGTCTCGGCCACCCTGCCGCACCGCCTCCATAAATGCCACCTGGCGTTTCTACGGTGACCGACCTCCAGGCGTCCGACGGCCCTTGTGGCAGACTGGCAGGTGGTCCCCGGGACTCGGCCCAGGGTCCGCCCTGACGAGAAGAGCATCCTCTCTGGGGTCACACATGTAAGGCGGGTGTCACGGCAGGGACGGGAGAGGCCGTGGTCTGTCAGCGGATGGGCTGGGATTCTACAGAATCCAGCAGGGAACCAGCCAGGGGTCAGGCAGCCAGGGCCTCTGCCGGAGAGACGCATCAAACAGCGACGTCCGCAGGGAGGCGGGAGGAAGTGGCTCGGACCGTGGCTCGCGGTAGCCACCTGTGGGCGGCGGCTCCATCCCAGCCGTCAGAGTCAGGCCTGATGAGCAAAACTCTCTCTGCGCCTGTAAGGTGGAGCCAAGACTACTTCCTCTCAACTCGTGTAAGGGTGTGAAACCACATGTCGCCCCACCCTGACCACTGGGGCGTGTAGCCGACCGCCCGGACCTAGTGCTGAAAGACAGCGCCTCTCTTCTTCTGGCCACAGAGGCCTTGGGCCAGACCGGACAGTGCGGGCCCCTCTGCTCTGCGCCATTGGGGTTTCAGGTGGAAAGCAGGTCGGCAGGGAGCCAAAGGGCGGGGGCCTGAGCGACCTTCACTCATAGGCCTGGTGCCCCGGCCAAACGCTCACACGGCGGGGCACCAGGGCCCCCACATGTCTCTCATATGCTCAACATGTAGCACACAGGTGTGCGTCCCCCTCAAGCCCCTACAAGACCCCCACAACCCCCACAAGTGCCTCGCAAGTGCTCAGCCGATGTGACCACCATATGACCATCACACGCCCCACACGTGCTCCCAGAGGCCCCAAGTGGCCTCCATGCAACACCCACATGCTCCCTCAGTGTGTGCTCTGCTGCCACCATGTGCCACACACACGGTCCCCACATGCCTCCCATGTACCCCCACGTGCCTGCCACACGGCCCCATGCAAACTCACATTAGACCCACGTGCCCCCCACGAACCCTCCAAATTGCCTCCCTTGCGGGTTTCCTGTGTGGCCCACATGCAACCAGCATGCGATCACGTGAGTCTCCTTCACTCACGGGTCTGGGGCCTTCCCCGGACACTCGAAGGCGGGGCTCAGATGGGCCGGGCACTGGGGCCCCCCACAGGGCCTCCCCACATACCCCTCAGATGCCCCCACTTGCCTGTCACAGGGCCCCTGCAGGTCCCCCCACGTGGCCCATGTCCACCAGCACAGCAGGTGGGTGCGGGGAGGGGGCGTCAGGACGTCAAGGTGGACGCTGTACGGCTTCTGACCCGTCCCTGGAAGCGGGGCCCCTGGGGCTCAGCTCTGGCCATAAGGCAGCCGGAGCCAAGGTGCAGGATCCCAGCCCACGTCTGGGGTCACTGAGCCCCACTGTGAGCTGGGGGCCTTGCTCAGGCCTCTGACCTGACTACAGGAGGTGCAGTGTGTCTGGAATCCCGGTGATGAAGCCTTTGCCTCCAGCACACACGAGACCTCGTTGATACCACGAGCCTGAAGCCACGCTTGACCCCTGCCCCTGGGAAGCCAAAGCATGCCCTGCGAACAGCAGTGCTCTTCCCCTCGTTTAGGCTGGGGAGCAGGGCTCCACGAACCTCACAGAGGTCAGCGGGGAGGGGTCCCCAGGTTTGTGGGGCATCGGGTCTCTTCTCTGGGGGCCGCTCAGCTCTGCCATGGGAGCTCGAAAGCAGCCACGGATGACACGGAAACGGCTACACTGGTGTGGGGCGCCCTGGTTATGGCCCTGCCCTGAAGCCTCCAATGGACTCGGACCCTTTCTGCCAGCCCTCCCCCCAAACCTGGGCAGCCAGCTCTGTGGCAACCCCAGCAGGACCCCAGCAGGTGGCGCCAGGCCACCACCCACAGCTCTGACACGCCCCCCCCCCCCCGGCCCCCGGCCCCCCCTGGGCGGCCTGGGGCTGAGCCTAGGAGGGGGATACTCAGGTGGAGAGCAAGACTGGGATCCCCAATGGCCCCCCAAACAAGGGCCTGCAAACAAACAGCCTGTGTCAGCGGCTTCCCCTGGCCCTGCCACCAAGGTGGCCCTGAGGACGCAGCCCCATCCTCACTCTCGTCCTCAGGGTTCTGCACCTGGCGGTGGCAAGGCAGCAGCCTCTTTTTTTCTTAATTTTTTAAAATATTTTTATTTATTTCATTTTTTTAATGTTTTATTTATTTCTAGGTGAGAGAGAGAGAGACAGTGTGAGCAAGGGAGGGTCAGAGAGAGAGGGAGTCACAGACTCTGAAACAGGCTCCAGGCTCCGAGCCGGCAGTCAGCACAGAGCCCGACGCGGGGCTCGAACCCACGAACCGCGAGATCATGACCTAAGCGAGAGTCGGACGCTTAACCGACTAAGCCCCTTCTTGATTTTTTAAACTGTTTATTATTTGAGAGAGTGCGCGTGCGCAGGCACAGGTGGGGGAGGGGCAGAGACAGAGATACAGATTCCGAAGCAGGCTCCAGGCTCTGAGCTGTCCCCAACGTGGGACTCGAACCTGTGAACCGTGAGATCATGACCTAAGCTGAAGTTGGGTGGTTAACGGACCGCACCCCCCAGGTGCCCCTGGAGTTGTTTAAACACACGCATGGGCACACAGGGTCACAAAACAGAAATGCCTCACAGAGGGCCATGGTAAGGAAACCGAGCTAGGGGGACACACGTCTATAAAGCAAGCTTTGCAACTTTGGGGATGGAAGAGAGGAATGGTTGAGAGTAAAGAGAATCCCCTCTGCTCACACTCAGGAGGGGTAATGGGTGCCAGGGGAGGGGCGGTACATGGTGGGAGGCAGCTTCCCAGAGGAGAGGCTCTTTGGGGCCTTGAAGGGTGAGTAGGAGCTCGGCAGGTGGAGAAGCACCAGAGGACCGAAGGAGCAGGTGTGAAGGAAAAGGTCACGTATGAGGGCAAGAGGCCTCCTCGCAGAGCCCAGGAGGGGCCTGTGTGCCCGTCCCAGGGGGAGAGGGCTGTGGGGGGGGG